TTTTAAAAAATCGGTCTGGCACGCGGCTAGCATCATTTTCAAAATCGGTAAAAATGATTTGAAATAAATGTTTTCCCATTAATGGTTTTGCTTAAAGTATTTTATATAATTTAAAGGATTAATCATCTAGTAAGTGAAAATAACAACGGGGTTTCAATCAAAAGAAATTATATCGATAAAAGAAATATAATTGAAAACATTATTTATATATTATTATAAAATTATTTGCACATAACATATATAAATGAATATATAAAGAATATGTTAAATCAAGTTTAGAGTTTTTGAATATACCAATCATAATCTTGTATATTTCATATATGGCGCCAATATAAAATTTTAACGATATCAGAAAATTAAAGTGTCCTAAATAAAGATTGAATTTAATACAACAATAAATATGGCATGACAAGTTATCCTAAGCCTGGAAAAACTAGGCATATATAGTTAAAATTGTCCAAAAATTTATTATAGAAACAAAATAAGTCGAATCATGCCTAACGGGAAATATTGTATTTCCATTTCTACCAAAGACGGACAAAAGATTCCCATACAAAAATTTTTTTAGATAATTTGGAAAAAATTTATATATTGAGAAAGGAGGCCCGATATTATAAATTCGCTTTTCGAAATATGCATGGATTCGGCCAAAAAAATATATACTTGCAGGAGGTAGTGGTACACATAATGTTTGTGTTCGCAGCTGCCATCAAAATTTTAAATTAATGATCATAAGATCAGATCTACTCAATTATGCCAAAGATGAAATGTTGCCTTTTAATATGTAAATATATTTACGCTTAATAATTTGTGGGCAAATTGATAATTGTTCAAGGTCAAAACATTTGCGCGAATTAATATAAATATCGTTTCGTTCACATACAAATACAAACGGCGGATATTGATAGATAGGGCCACTCTTGAAACAATCACCAATCCGGAGATAAATTTATCAATGCCTTTTATAAAAATAATGGATTATTTTTAATCCTATTCTTTTACTTCAACCTAGTAATCGCATCAAAATCATCCAGGACCGTGACCAGGAATTTCCAGCTGGTGGTAGGGAGGCTGCATACTTAGGGGGGCCAATATTTTTTAAATTAAAATAAAGAGTTAGGCACATAGATATTTTTTGTTATTTTTATTAAAAATTTGTAAACGACGATTTTTTAAATTTTAACATAAGTTAAGAGGTAAATTCTTTATTATTTTTTCTATAAGCCATTAATATAATTTTGTTTACATCGATTCTCTAGTGCTCGACGGAATTCTCTTTAGTTGTATACATAATAATGGCTGCTGAGGCATTAATACAATTCTTTAAATGCAAGATTACTTTTTTATACAGTAAAATATGTGTAATTGAACAAAGGCAGATAATGGTAAAAATACGTCATTTTTGTCATTAATAATCATAATTTTTTCATTGAGTTTAATTTTTTTCCAAATCCAATCAATATTAACTTGAGTACTTGCTTTTAAAGAGTGCGGATTAGTATTCTAGAAAGTTGCCCAACAATTAAAATGGTGTTTTGAAATCAATAACATATGTCATTGTTTGAAATATAACCCATTGTTATCATTACCTGTATGAAAAATATTTCACTTTACAACATTGATAAATAAATAAATATACAAGTTTATTTAAAGGGGTATATACTTTGTTAAAATATTGGATAAAACATAATTTGTAATTTTTATCATCGAATGTGTGAATAACGCTTATAGTTATTATTTATATGCAAATAATATATGATATCTTTTTGTATTATAAATTAATTTAACTAGCAAAACTTTATATTTTTCAAAGTATAAAATATTAATAAGTATATTAGATTACTTGCCATTAATATAGTTTCACATCATTTTTATCAAAATATTAATAAGTGTATTAGATTGCTTGCCATTATTATAGTTACACATCATTTTTTATCAAATCCAATGATATAATATATATAATTGATCAAATAATACTCTACATTTTTTAAAATTAAGATGTGTAGTAATGTAGAAATATATTGTGATATACTATTTATACATCATGAATTATTATATTCGTCAATTAGATATGGTCATAATCAGGGGCGGACTGGCCATAAGACCCAGTGGGCATTTTGCCCACGAGACCGCGAGAAAATGTCGATTTTGAGGCCGATGAGAGGAAAATATCAAAAAAGAGGCCGGTAGGAAAAAAAAATATTATTTTGTTCACATTATTTACTCTTATCATTTATTTATTTAATGATATCTATTATTTGAATATAACATTCCCTGAGAAGAATTATCATGTCGTTTACTATATTTGAATGCATAAAATATCAATTATGTCGCTTGACGCTATATATCATTTACCACGTGCTTTTCGTTTTTTTTTTCAAAGGAAGTGAAAACGCTTATGTTTGAGTTTGAGTAGAGTGAAAGCTAAGTTTTGATTAATTTATTATATTAATTTTTATACATTAATTTATTGTATATAGGAAACTATAGTGATTGATTGTATTTCTTCTTCTTAATTCATTGATCCTTTTGAGCTTGGGCTTGAGTAGAGTGAAAGCTAAGTTTTCATTTATTTATTTAATTTTTTTACATTAATTTATTGTATATAGGAAACTATTGTGATTGATTGTATTTCATTGATCCTTTTGAGCTTGGGCTTAAGTAGAGTTAAAGCTAAGTTTTCATTAATTTATATTATATTTTTATACATTAATTTATTGTATATAGGAAACTATCTTGTTCTTAATTCATTGATCCTTTTGAGCTTGGGCTTGAGTAGAGTGAAAGCTAAGTTTTCATTAATTTATTATATTAATTTTTATACATTAATTTATTGTATATAGGAAACTATAGTGATTGATTGTATTTCTTGTTCTTAATTCATTGATCCTTTTGAGCTTGGGCTTGAGTAGAGTGAAAGCTAAGTTTTCATTAATTTATATTATATTTTTATAAATTAATTTATTGTAATATAAGAAACTATCTTGTTCTTAATTCATTGATCCTTTTGAGCTTGGGCCTGAGTAGAGTGAAAACTAAGTTTTCATTAATTTATTATATTATATTTTTATACATTAATTTATTGTAGAGGAAACTTTTGTGCGCCTAATATTTGTATTACAACAATTTACTGATCATTAGCAAACAAACATAATATAAGAAAAGAATCAACTTTATATACTATTTTTACACGTAAATTGAGATGTATGTAAATAGTCAAAAGTAAAAAACTTATTTAGATTTCATAACCTAAAGATAGTAATGTTTTTTTATTATTATTACTGGCTGGTAACATAACAGATTACTTTATGCTTTATATTAAAATACAATTCTTTAAAAAAAATTTATTTTAGTTGATTGAATTGATATATTTTTAAAAAACTTATTTATATTTCATAACCCAAAGATAGTAATGTTTTTTTTAATTATTACTGGCCGATAACATAACAGATTACTTTATGCTTTATATTAAAATACATTTAAAAAAAATTATAATAAATTTTATTTTAGTTGAATTGATATATTTTCATATATGCATAGAAATGCCAAAAGGAAATTTAAAGGTGGAGCTGAAAAATTAAGAAAAAAAATGCTGCTGGTCTCAAAGCAGCTGGTGCTGATCCAAAACAACTTAAATTATCTTTTTTTGATAAATCAATACCAAGTAATTCAAATACTATTACTTCATGTAAATAAACTATTTTTTTAAAGATATCAACAGCCTCCCATTCACTACTACCTGAAACAACTACCTTATCTGCAACATCTTCATGTATTATGGCATCAGTTCAATCATTGCCACTATCCTCACACTTGTCAGAAGCAACTATATCAATAATGCCTTCAGATATTTCTCAAAGTGGATTATCAGAATTGAATATGCATACACATGAAAATTTTAAGTTGCAATTAACAGCCACTATACCTCAAAAACTTAGATTTTTAATGCAACATCCTATACAACCAATAAACATCAAATATGATAAATTATATTATCGAATGGTAATGAGTGAAAAAATACCTAGAAAATGGATTACCATAAAAATTATATGCAATAAAGCCCAAGCTGTGTACTGCTCAATCTGCCTGGCATTTGCAGTATGTGAAAACACTTTCACAACAGGCTCTACAAATTTTCGTCACATGCACTCAGTTATTAAAATACATGAAAATTCAAAAGTGCATATTAGTGCTGTCGAGGCCTACCTCAGAGCTTCAAAAAACCAGTCATTTAATAATTCAATTCGCGTTAAAATATTAAATGAAAAAAATCGACAAATTCATAACAATATCTACATAATAAAACAAATATTTGAGATAATTAAGTTTTTATGTAAACAAAACTTACCATACAGAGGATCAAATGCTACCGAAACACTTAGCCTCTTTGATAATGAAAATTTAAATCATGGCAATTTCCTGGAAATGATCCGTATTATATCAAAGAATGATCAAATACTTAGAGATCATTAGAGAAGGCTATTTTAAAAAGCAAACGTAGAAAGGATACGCTTAAACTGTCTAACAAATCAAAATCGAAGGGAAGAGGTTCTCTCATAACCTTGTTGTCAAAAACAACTGTCAACAAAGTTATTGATGCTGTTCTTGATCAAATCAGGAATTTAATAAAAAAGGAGATTGGTAACAAACGGTTTAGTTTGCAAATGGATAGTACTCAAGACATTTGCGTTTATGATCAAGCAACCATTTGCCTACGATACATATATAATGGTAAAATAACAGAAAGTCTTTTTGCACTTACAAAAGTTACGAACTCTTCTGGAAAAGGTACTATAAAAGTTTTTTTATATTAGGTGTATTAACAGGTTACATTTTCTAAATAACTAGGAAATTAGAGCCACAAATTATATAAATTAAGAACAGGACCCAAAATTGTAACCCCAAAAAATAATATGATTTTCTTGTTACTAGATTTTAAAATTTATCAACAATATTTTATCTAACAGATATATTTATTTACAATTACAATATTCGAACGAAATAATCTATTGTTCGTAAAACATAATTTTTGCTATTAAAAAATTATGGTCAAATTTTTTAGAAATCAAAATATTTATCCACATTTTCTAAAGTTTCATTTTCTGGTGGCTTTAATTCGTCGTATAAATTGATCAAATTAAATTTTTGGCAAAATTCCAAGGTTTGTATATTAATTGTTGCTGGAGAATTTTTCGTTGTTGGCACAAATAAATTTGAAGAGGGGAACGCGATGGGAGTAATAGTACTTCGAACTTTCTTCAAATCATCAGGTTGTTGTGATAATAATGGTTCTTCCAAAGCGTAGGGTATATTCGTTCGGGTTTTATCGCAGTTAACGAGGCTGTCCGTTTTGCGCAGAACATCGATCCATTCTAAATCGTAAGCTAAATAAGAGCGCGTTTTGAATTTGCCGTTATCGAGTGACGAAGTAGCCAGGTCGTTATCGTTGTCAGGCGAATCAGATTTAGCACTAATTTCAATGTCTTTGACTGAGTGGGGAAACGAAATTACTTGTAAAAACTGTCTATGTGGCAAACATTTATCGAGGGCAAGAAATTTGGTAAAAGTTTCTTTTATGGTTGTGTCATCTTCATCATCTAGCTTATGAATAATAAAAATGGTGAATTATATTATTTCTGATTAGAAATAATATTTAATTTAAAAAAAAAAATGCAATCTAAAATTACCGAAGATTCTTTATTGTTCTTAGAATAGGATTTATGAGGGAATAAGGCGGCAAATTTGACATGTAAATGCGCGGAAAACCAATAATCAGGTTTAAGTTTTTTTAATAGTTCGTTGGTCGGCGGACTACCCAGTTGGCCTAATAATATGTTGAAAAATTTTCATAAATGGTTAAAAGATGTTAGAAAATCGGAGTACTTATAATTATCAGGACCTGCCGAAGAGCCGGGCTTAAAAATTATAAATCTGAGCCGATTTATATAAAAAAAATTTAAATTATATCAATAATTAATTTGAAAATCATATAACGAAGCGTTTGATACTCATTTATTGTTCATAATCTCAATTTAAAACATGCTAAATACAGCCAAAATAATTCATAAAAAACAAAATTTAATTCCGGGCCGGGTTCATAAAATAAAAATCCTGGTGGGTCAAAAAAAATTGATGGTCTTTCTAAAGTGGGCAATATGTCAAATAATAGATTTTAGCTAGATTTTCAATTCATTTGGTAAACAGTATAAAAAGGTTATTAGCAAAATATGAAAAAAAATTTGCTAGCATCATTATAAAAAAAGAACCTTTCTATCATATTCTTTGATTATAATTTAGTAGGCCGGCCATGTATTTAAATATTCCTTAGTCTATGAATTTTCATACTAAAAATCAAGAATATTATCCTTAAAAGAACAAAAGAATACTTTTTATAGGTAAACTACATTGGGAAATAGTAATAATATTAAAATTATATGAAAAGGGCATTTTTAAAAGGAAGATATTCTATTTGAAAATTGAAGACTATTTTTTATTGAGAAGTGGGAATGGGCATTTATGGTCCCTTCATTAGCTGCAATTCATCTAATTTTTAACTCTCACTATGGCTCATTTGGGGCGAGGAAACAATATTATATTTGGCCATTCTCATAAAAGGGAGAGGGAACAATATTAAATTTGAGCATTCTCGTTAAAATTACAATCATAGAAAAAATTTAACTATTGCTATAACCAGTTATTTTTGTGTTTTGTTGTTGAAAATTGTCTACATAGATAAAACTCAGGTCTCATTAGTTACCCAATGAAGACATTTAGAATGACTTGTCTCTGATATAATTCTATCATTTAATGCAAGTTAGAACTATACGAGAGAGACAAATAAATCTCAAATTATATTCTTATAAAATAGTTTCCAATTGAAAAAATAGTTAGGCAATAGATTTCCAAACATGTTCCAGATTCTTCCCTTACCATATAATTGTTGGCATATTTAAAAATATTTTGGTAAAATATCGACTATAATTTATTTTAATAATCCTACCTACTAAAATATATTTTATGATAACACACAAATATACACGCATAGGTTGCAAGTGCAACTCACCAAAGAAGCACATGGAATGAATAAATGTTATCTAAAACATTAGTTATATTTTATTGAAGGATCAAGGTCGTGTCCTGATCCACCTAAAAAGAAAAAGGCTATTTAGATTTATGTATAGGTGACTCTTTTCAAAACGAGCATTTAAATGAAAATTTAATATTTATTTTTACCGAAAATACCAGTGGCGTAGCTAGGATTTTATCATAAGGGAGGGGGTTCGAGATTTTTTTTGGAGGGGGGGGGGCTTCGTCCCCCAAACCTCCCATTTTTTTGAACACTTAATTGCTTATATTTTTGGATTTGTTAAAATTGTTTTATATTTTCATATAACAAAATTTTAGGGTATTTTATTATATATTTTACATTCCTTTATTTAATCATGTATATATTTTTATTAATTAAAATATTTTCAAAATATTGATATTTTATATAATATAGATTTTAATATTAAAAATTATAATGTATAGACTCTATTTAAACAAAAGTAATTTTTTTACAATTATATAAAATATGTGTAATTCTTATGCAAATAATGGTATTTAAAAAAATATGATGATTTTATCTTTTAAATAATACTTTTTTTACAAAAAAAAATTGATTATCATGTGTTTAATTTGGTGATATAATAAAAACAAAAACTTTTAAGTGGTATGTTTGAAGTGTTTAAAAAACAGAAATACCACATTTATGTATTAGGAAAAAAATTTAACAATTAATAAAAATTTTTCATAAAACTTTTTAATTACAAAAAAATAATTTTTTAAATTTAAAATGTATAATATTAATAATATTTTATCCAATAATACCAATAATAGTTTTAGAAATTCTTCTTTATATAATAATAATTCCTTTTTATCTAATCATTCCTTTTCCACATCATTTTCGCAATCTGCTATAAGTGCCAATTTTACTATAATAAACCCTATAAACTCACCGGCAATTCAAAACCCAAAAAGAAAATATAATTGCTGGAATAAAGAGAAAATTGACATAGTAACCAAATTGTTGTCCCAGCCTGAAATGGAAAGAATGAAAATAAAGGACATTGCCAGACATATTGATATGTCAATAGCCTCGGTTAAAAAATTAAGTCAAGAAACTTTTCCAGAGTTTATAGGGGGGCCATTGAAGCAATATCAAATTCAAAAAAGAGATGTAAAAAAAAGACACATCCGAAATCTAAAGAAAGGTTATAAATATTTTAATGGATAACAACACCTCGACTATTAAAGATATCATAGAAAATTTGCCTCCAGGTTTTCCAAAAAATGAGGGGACCATTCCGAAAATATATTAAAAAAATAGGCTGGTCTAAAAAAAGGGTTGGAATAGAGCCCGATCGACGAAATACACCAGGAGCAATTCGCATTCGCCAGGCTTATTGCCTTAAAATGCTAAACATTCCTATGGGAAAAATGTTCTTCCTGGATGAAACAGGCATAAACCTACATGTTGTCTGTGTATGTTTGGGCCCCCTACAACGTCACACCAACTGTGATAGTTCCACCTTCCAAAGGCAAGAACGTTAGCATTTTATGTACAATAGGAATTGGTGGCCTTATAACCTATCGAATTATTGAAGGGCCCTTTAATGGGTTGCTTTTCCTTGATTATCTGAGAGAATTAATAACAATTCTTCCAAATGATGCAATTATCATTATGGATAATGCCGCAATATACAAGTGTCATCTTATTGATAGCTATAAAAATCGAATTGAATATCTTCCGCCATATTCACCTCAATTAATGAAAACTTTTTCGGGGTCATGAAAAACAAATATAGGTCTATACCAAGGCCAAACAATAGAAATCAAATCATAAATAATGTTACTTCGATATTAAATCAGTACATTCCGTACGATTTTACAAACTATTATAATCATATGCATGATTTTTGGAACTTGGTTTTCGGGGACAATCAATCAATTAAAGGTAAAATAAATTTATATAATATTTTTATCTTTTCTCTATTTATATAAAAATAAAGATGCCAATTTTGGAACACTCAAAACTAAACGAGAATGCAATTTAAAAATATAATATTTTCTTACAAAATTAAATCATTATGTAAATTATTATTATTATTATTGTGTTTGTAATTATAGATTATTATAATATATACAAAATAAAATATTCTTTGGTTGATAATTTCTATATTTCGTTCTTCTGAGCTCCTTTCTATAGAAAAAAACGAATGGCATTTACATTTATCTGCAATATAAGTTAATTACTTTAAAGGTGGGGGCTGATTTTTTAAATTCTTAGTATAAGTCTTTATGATCAATATTGATATTTAAGGTTCATAGAATCTGAGATAAAGATCATTAAATACTACAATAGAGTATTACACTTACAAATCTTCCAAAAAATTAATTTTCCAATTAAATACGATATTCTAGAAACATTTCATAGGTAAATTCTTATGTTACTTTTTTTAAAAAAATTATTGTAAAAATTTGAAAAAATATTCACTTAATCTATCTTTTTCCTAATACATAAATGTGGTATTTCTGTTTTTTTAAACACTTCAAACTTATTATTATACCACTTAATAGTTTTTGTTTTTATTATATCACCAAATAAAACACATGCAACCCTGAAAAACTAATAAAATTTTATTGCTATTTTTTGATTTGAATTTAAAAAGAGAGATCTACTTTTCTCTGAGATTTTGCTAATTCATCTAGAATCAAATCTAAAATAATCTCCTTATAAATATTTAATAGGGCTAATCCATTTAAACGTTTTTCACCGGTTGTGTTTCTCAAATAGGTTTTTAACTTTTTTAAAGTTGAAATGATAGTTTAAAAAAAGATGGAATCATACCTATATTTCCTTTTATTTTTTCAAAATTTGGGTCATGGTTGAATTAATATTATATAATTGGTTGCCATTTTAGGGCTTGTGAATCCAAATTCTAAAATCCAACCTATTCTTTCATCAGTGCAGGTACTAATTGGCAAGGTAGCTAAAATAATTAATAATGTTTTGATATTAGGCAGGGAATCTAAAATGCAATTACACATGGAAAGGGCCTGCAGAGCATTTTTTGGTCTCAAAGAATACCCTATTTTTATACCAAAATTCGACATCACAAAGTAACTTATCATATGAACCTACTAAATCAACAGCATAAAACTCTGAGATTTTTTTAATATCCTCTCGTGTTTCAAGTGTAATCAACAGTTTAGACTCAACCGGGAAAAGAAATTAAAGCTTTTTAAAATATAATTATGACTAATAAATCTTTCTTTTAATTGAAATAAAAATATATCAATAAGGGGAAAAAATGTTTATTATAAAAATCCTCAATCGTGGATGCATCAATATTTGATCGATTGGACTGTCTAGAGACTACTCTAGGTTTAAAAATTTCAATTCCAAACATATTAGCAATCTCCTTTACTTTTTCATATATTTCATGAAATTTTTCATTCACATTCTCTCTGATTTTGTTAATATTTCAACAATATCCTTTGCTCTATTCATAATCTTCCTTAAATCCAAATCAATTTTTCGTAGCATTTTGCTAAAATCATATGTTTAATTAAATAAAAAATAAACACATTGAATTGAAATTAAAAACTGTGGCTTAATAATAGCCTGCAAAAGATTTTCGGCATCTGCTGAATCTTTTTCCTTGCTGAATCTTTTTCCGTGCTGAATCTTTTTCCTTGCTTGATATATAAAATTCTAGTGCTGCAAAGACAACATCATATAGTTCAATAAAGAGTTTCACCGACTCTTGTCTTTCGATGAAT